GCTGCGGACTATTTTTGGGAGTCGCAGTCAAAGTGTTAAGGATAAAATTGGAAGAAAGCGTGATGTGCTACCAAAGGTATACAAGAAACAATATGTGTGCAGTGAAAATCAGTCAAAAAATGCATAGTACATTAGCAGACATTTCAAACCGGCCATACTTTTTGCGGGATGTCAGAGAGAAGCTCGTTCAAATGCCGGTTTCCCGATGTGACTGACATATCATGAAACTAAGCTGTGGAATAATCAGTAATACAACCCTAACTTTGTAGTTTGTTCGAATCGAAAACACATTTCCAGAATCTCGGTTAACATTATACGAGATAGAGAAGTTACTGTAATGTGCACGTCTTTTGGAGGCTAAACCGTGCAAGGTAAGAGGGAAAATTGATCTGTCTGCCAGTGTGTCAGAATGGCAGTTCTGGTAGACAGAAAACACGAATAGCAAATCCATCCACACATGCTGCGGTCATGATGGAATTTCTGAATGAACTTTAGCGCAGAAAAGTCTAACTGGCTGGACTCCATAATTCATAGGCCGTTACTTTGGTTTTCTGCACCAATAGCCAGTGTTTTCAAGGCCACCTAACTTCAGAACCTCAAACTTATAAAACGAGCAGTCGAACGGGAATCTCGTTTGAAGATTAAAACATGATGCACAGACGGAGTACTGCGGGTGAGCAAAAATGGCTGCTTTTTAAAATAATATTTCAGTCACCATGCTTCTTTGTTTCACTGCAAGTAGCATGTTAAAATGTTATCACTGCGTTTCTTGAATTATGGATTTTAAAGGACATGTATTTTAAAAAAAATGACGAGTGCATAGGTCTCGTAATATTTTTACGTACACTTCAGCTAACTGCGCATACATTTATCGCACTTGCAAGGATTGATTAGAATTAGCACAGACGACATTTTAGGCGTGAAGTGAAAGCCGACGAGTTGTGGAACTCTTACGTAGGAGGATGTTGAGCCTTTTTCTGGCTGCTTGCGTTCTCTGCCTGATAAAGACGACCTCTACCGATAAATACCTAATAGCAATTGGCGGGCATACGTATACTTTCAATAAATTCTCATCAGGCCTTTACATTTATATGGGA